GGGGCGTCGACCCCGGGCGTCGGATTTCGATCGATCCATCCATTCAGACGCTCCTCCTCTTCGTTTTCTTTTCTTCATCCCCCTTTAAAAAAAAAAAAAAAAAAAAAAAAAAAAAAAAAAAACAACATACGTAATCAAACAATCCCACCCTTCCTTCCACAGCATGAAATGCATATGCGCCGGCCGATACGGGTGCCGCCGCATCTTGCCCAGAAACCGCCCGACGGGTCCATCGTGCGGAATCGGATACGACACGGGCTTGATGGCCCGGAACCAAAACCCGCCCCGCGCGTCCGAATACATCACCCCGCGCCCATCCACGGTCCGTCCCCCGGCCTCCCCCTCCCCCTTCCCCTTCCCCTGTCCCTTCCCGCTCGCATACTGCACATCATAGTGCCCGCTACTGTCCGTCTCCCAGATATCGACCCTGACGCCCTCCAGCGCGCGGCCCGCCAGGTCGCGCACGCAGCAGACAACCAGCAACGGCTCGCCGGCAGCGTCGCGCGAGAGCAGGCCGCCATCGGCGACGGTGGGTGCGTCGTGCGTGTGGAACGGGCCGAGCACGGTGCCCTCGGTGGCGCCGGGGGGTTTCGGGTGGTCGATGGCGTCGACCAGCAGCGAGAGGCCGAGGATGTCGGAGAGGAGGATGAGCTCGTTGCGCTGCGGGGAGCTGATCTGGCCCGCCTCGATGAGGAAGGCGAGCGCGGCAGACCACTCGGCGGTCGACAGGCGGGTTTCGCGGGCGAAGTCGTGCAGGTGCGTGACGAGGCGGGAGAGGAGGTAGCGGAGGCGCGGGGCGGGGCATTGGGCGTTTATGAGGTTGGTGTTTGTGGTTATGTTTTCTATTGTGAGGTCTTTGAGCGGGGGTGGGGCGGTGGGGTTTGGGCTTGAGGAGGCCATTTTGGGGGGAGGAAGGATATTGGGCTGGGTTTGTGTTGAGGAGCTCCCTTTGCCAGGTAATACTAATCTGTATGCATATGTGTAGACACGACGAGTTGGAGATGTGTTGTGCTACATGATAGTGTTTGTGATGATGCGCCGGGATATCAGCAGCGCTAACAGTTGTCTTCGTAAGAACGAGCAGCGGTGACGATGACATCGCCCTTCATGTTAAAGCGGATATCAAAATCAGATATAAAAGCATCCAATACCCATCGATCGGATAGGATGTAAACGCGATAGAAGCCCTCTTGCTCTTCTCTGTCTTTCCCCCTGGCTCTACTACATTGCGGAGCCAGCAATTTACGAGTCAACCACCACCACCCGGTCAAAGGTATGGAGCAAACTCTAGCTCAGGATAAGTAGTGTTAACTATTTCCATGGTAAAGGGACCCACGTGTGTGTACACATGTGCATGTACAGTGCTATTATAGACACAAAGTTTGTTGTAGCAAGAGAGTTGGGTGTACGAGGAACTGGATATCAACTTCCAGGCTCTCACGGCTGCAAATGGATCATTTGAATAATTCCACATCATCCTCTCTTCCCTTCCCTTCCCACTTTATCATCACAGATAAATACCGCAGAATCCAACACAAGGCTAAAGAACTTTGGAAAGGGGAAAATAAAAAAGGAAATACAGAACAAAACCATAAGAAGGCCATTCATTACACAATAACAAAAAAAGCAGAATAAAAAAACCGAGCTGGACGGTATTGAAATCCATATATTCTCCAAAAAAAAGCCTCATCAAAAGGCTCTTTGAAATGCAAACTTCAGACTCAAACCCCAAGCCTAAAAACATGGCTCATCCCATCGTTCAATTCATTCAAAATCCATTCAACCATACATTCAACAACCAATAAAAAAAAATAAAGAAAGAAAACAAAAAACAAGAAAAAATCCTATGGTGCAGTTTTCGGCTTCGTTTCGCATGGTCCCTCCGCTGGACGTCGGCAACAAATGTAGAAAGATGCCCACTTCTTTCTTTCACTTCCTTTGTTAATACGGAAAGTAGACAATAAGTAGAATGCGCGCCCCGAGCGAAGGAGGGAGGGGAGAAAAGTGGTTTCAATAGTGATAAGATGACCTAACCGCCTGGACAAACACTAGAAACAAGACACAGAGCAAGATAAAACAACAGAAGCAGTATCAGAAAACATCATGAATGGATAATATGGAAACAACACACATATATAACATATATAGAGAAGCTGGATATCTTCGCATTAAAAGGGAGGAGTTTCCGTTTCATCATCTCAATCTATCGCGTTCCCTCTCCCCCTCTCTGTCGCACGATGGCTGCGCTGTCGCCGCCAGCGCTGCAGCAAGGTTATGCTTGCCCATCGTATCCCGAATAGCTTGAGTGAGAGGGTCTGTTGAGTCGCCGTCATCCATTTCCGTATCTAGCGGAGTTTGTGTTTGCGCCAGCGTTCGTTGATGTTGGTGTGATTGCAGATGTGTATGGTGCGGTGAGTGGATATGTCCGTGAGAATTGCTATGGGTCCGGTACATATCAGCTGCTTGCGGCCCGCCCGTTGGGTCCGCATGCATGTTGTTTTCACTCAGCGAACAGGGTTTGGAGGAGTTGTGGGGCTGTGTTTGCGGGTCGGATGCGCGGCGGGAATTAGTATAATCATTCATGTTGGAGTCACCGATGATGGAGATCGTGTCGGTTCCGATAGCTGATCCGGGGTTCGTATTGACGCCGCCGACAACATTCGGCGTCTCGGCGCCCCGCTGGCTCCTACCGGCTTCTGTCGACGATACAGATGCTGATGCCTCCGCTTCCGCTTCCGCATCCGTTTCCACTGTTATCGTTTTATTGTGTGCTTCGCCCTTACCGCCACTTTTGTTACTTCGAGGATGCACAGGGTACGTCTCGCGTAGCTCCTCGACTTTGACTTCCTTCCACGAGCATTTGGCGTGTTTCTTCGTGCAGCCCATGCAGGCAGTAAGGTTCTTGTGACAGTCCATCTGCAGGCGGCGACAGCGGTCACAGGGGGGTAGGATGCGTTCGCCGCGTTGGAGACCTTCCATCCGGCTTACCATCTCGACCTTGTAGGGCCCGCCGTCGTCACGTTCGTAGTGGTTGGAGGATTTTGGTTGGGGAAGGAGGGAGGTTGGGGTGTTGGGGATGGGCACAGGCCCACTGCCTGTGTAGGCCCCTCCGTACTCGCCTGGGTCAGAGGTGCGCGGCCGGGAGCGGGAGGTTTGGCGTGCTGGCGGGGCGGACCGTTCTACATCTTCTTCATTTTGGTAGCCCCGCGTATGGCGGTCGGCTGTTGTGAAGAATTTTTTCATAAGCTCCGCGCGTGTGGCTGGGGAGGCGCCCTTGATTGAGGTGCCGTTGATTATGGTAACGTTGTCGGTATTGGAATGAGGGAACATGAACTGCGCTGCGGAGAGAATGCTGGTGTCATCGGCGGGGGGTTCACGTCGAGAAGAAGAATTAACCGCGACGAAGCCCTGTGGGGAGTGCGGGCGTGAATGACCATTGCTTGCATTGGCCGTACCCATTCCATTACCATTGGCTTCACGGAATGGGCTCACAGACTGCCGTTGTTGCGCACTCAGTGACATATCATTTTCCCTCCTGCTCACAATTGCACTCTTGCGGTTTTTGAATCTATGGTTTAACTGCCTAGCACGAGCGGACACTATATACCAAGTTAGTTGCTGGCTACAATAAAATAAAAGACCAACCCATATTTCGATTTTCTGTGTTCAATTTTGAGAACAAAAAAAAATTCGTTTCCTGTGTGGTTTTCAATTACCTTGATCAGCCAAATTAATAATCTGCCCCAGATTCTTTTCTAAAATTTCCAAAGCGCCCAACTCTTTCTCCTCATCCTCAACAATTGGCTGCGGGGGTATAATCTTCTGAGGAATCCCGGACTTGATCAGGATATAGTCCTCCTCTGAAATTTCTACGCGACTCTGCTTGGTATATATCTGACAGACCGGTACCCCATTGCGGGTCTTTTCAAGGGTGAATTGCTCCGGTTTGTTTTTCGCAAACTCAACGATATCGAGCCAGGATACGGTTGTCCCTTCCTTCCCATGCGATTTCAGCACTTTGGGGGGGCCGTCAAAGAGACGCTCGAAACGAGAAACAAGGATGGGGCCGAGAGGACATGCGCCTAGGTTTCCGGCAATGCTCTCGTGACGTTGGAGGACACCATCGTAGTCGTTGATGAGGCGGAGGATGGAAGGGAGGGTATCCTCTGCGGAGACGAGCGGGATGTTATGTGTGTATTGGCGGGCGAGGTAGTTGATCTGGAGGTGGTTGGAGTGGGTTTTGGGGACTTTGGAGGAGGAGGATGGGTGGGAGTAGTCGCCCGATGGGGATCTGGTGCGTTTGCTGCCTGTTTCTGGAGGCATCGTTCTTGACTCCATTACGACGGGGAAGATGTCGACTGTGGGGGATCAAGACGAATTAACTTCCACGCCGCTTCCCAAACGCGAAGTAGATGTAGTTATGTCTTCATATCATACTCTGCTGAGAGGGACCAAGGAAGGGGGCGAAGCAAAAAAAGGGTGGGGGTTTTGCGGGAAAGGAGAACGTTGAGTAGTCGTGCGACAAACTCAAAGGAATAAAAAGCATACCCAAAAAAAAAAAAAAAAAAAAAAAAAAAAAGGGCAAGAAAAGAAAACAAGAAATGCTGGGGTGTGCTAACGGATTGCACAGAGGCAACGAGGGAGACTAGAGAGCAGCGAACAGTTGCAGGGAGGAGATGTTTATGTTATAATTTGTCTGCGCGGGTAGTTCATGAACTCCAAGTCCTTTGGGAGGGGAGGTGGGGGAGGGAAAACGAAGAATCGCAAAGGTAGCGCAGGGGGAAACAGAGAGCGAACGGAGTTGAAGAGGAGAGAGATGAACTACAGGAGGTAGAGGGGGGTTGAGAGAGCGGAAGAGGATTGAAGGGGGTTGAAGAGGAAGACGACGAAGACTGATATGAAGACGAAAAGGAAGAGGACGAAGAGGCTGAGGATGGAGCTAAAATTGAGATATGTGCGGAGGACTACGAGAGGACAAAAAGGAAGGCAGCAACGGGTATGCCGCGCGTCTACTTGAAACCGGTCCTGGTTGGTGTTGTAACTCCGTCACTATGACACACAGTATCTCTGTCATGTCCGAACGGTGGGCGGTAATTATATCTGCTACACACCTCCTGGGGGAGTCCCGCCTCGCAAGCAATCCACTGGGAAGTTACCAACTGACGATAAGAAGAAATGAACTAGATCAGAAAATGAACAAGAATGACAAGGCTCCC